GTCCCTCTGTCGGAATGATGTCTCAAAAGAATGAATATGTTTGTGCATTGGCTTCTTGGCAGTGGCCAGTGGTGAAACGGTTCAGACGTCCCGTTTGTAATCTACCGGTCACCGTTTTGAGCCTGCGTGAGTGCGATTGACCTCACACTATCCCAACCCGCATGTAGCCACTGGTGGTGGTTACTGGGCGGTGTAGCTTGGGCACGAAGTACCCGTTTACCATTGATCCTTTCTATCGGCTCCTTAAACTCAGGTCAATAGGAATAGGTTTTATGTACCCTGGTGCAAGTATTTTCGGCATCTTACACTGTCGACTGCGCCAATGATCTCGTCAAACATACGAATTGTGTACATGAGTGAGATATGTGTAGATGTCCCTCAAGTAAACGGTTCCGTATCATACTGACAGCTTTCATTGGGTTCTGTACCACAGAATTATGATATCATGGAGTGAAATAGGGCAGAACTCTAAATATGGGCGTATGGGCGAAACCGCTAAAGCATGTGACATGTCTCCGCGCTGAGAGACAAGGGTCATTTAGGATGTTGCTAGCAAGAGATTCAAACACTGTCTGGTTAATCCATTGCATCTGAGACAGACTGTATTTAGGAGCAAGTAGAAAGGTTTTCGTACAACTATCGAATTATGAAAAATAAAAAAACATTTAGTTGTGAATCGTCAGCGGTTGTGTTTGGTCAGTTAATCGTTTATCCTTGTTCGGTTAGGAATTCGTATTGGTGTCATTATTTCCGGGTATACGATGTCTTCTTTTGGCATTATGTGTGCATCTTTTCACAAAAGCACAGGTTTCCGAAATAATCATCGATACGTGTTTTAACACACTACACAGAATCGGCCTCTATTAATCCTTCTGGTAGTGTACTCCTTAAGTTTACGATCGTTTTATACAAAGCTGATTTGATACTTTGTTCATGCAGAGGATCCTGAGTTTGTAACGGTGTCCTCGGGTATTACAGGGTTCCAGCAGGTGAAATATTAGCCGCAGTATGGGGAAATGATTCAAGTGTACTACTCGATGGATTATAATAAGGTCAATTCTTACTCGGCGGTAGGATAGTGTGTAGAGTCCGAGCCTTTCACAGTTTTTCATACGGAAGCTTTCCTAGACTCCGTATCATTCTAGTTGCGATATGCTGTATTTGCTGCAGCTTTTCAGTTTCCCACTGGGTTATCGGATGGTAAGCTGGGGCACCATATTCAAGGATTGGTCTAATGAGCGAGATGAATAGACGAGGGACAGTGTCTTCGGACCATGTGGAGAAACTGCGTCTTAATGCCCAGAGCATACAAACTCCCGCGCGGTACAATTTCTCGGTATTTTCTAGTGATCTCATATCATGTCGCGAGAGAACTCCTCTGACAGATGTGTTAGGATGGAGCAACTGGCCGTCCAAGGTGTATGATCGAGTGATTGGACGTCTGGTGATACTGCTGAACTCCGACTTGCTTGCGTTAAGAGGGAGTTGCATTTCAATGCACCACCTTGACAGTCGCTCTAGGTCATGCTGGAGGCGAACGCAGTCGTCCTAGTTCTCGGTGATCCTCTAGATTTTCCAATCATCTACAAACAGGGCACATGGTGATTGGAGCTGCTGCGGAAGATCGTTGATATGAATAAGAAATAATACTGGCCCAAGTACAGTCCTCGGGGTTCACTGTGTCAAACGCCTTACTAAAGTCGACGTACACCACGTCAACATCCTTCTGTTCATTGAGAGCTCATACCCATTGGTGGTTTGCGTACATCAAGTTGGTGATGCAGGATCGTCCTTTCTTGAAGCCCTGTTGCGCTGGCGTCAATACGTCCATTCATTCGAAGAACAACAGCAGACACTTTCACAACCTTCTTGAGAACTTTGGGTAATATGGAAGTCAAACAGATCGGTCCATACTTCTCTATTTCACTTGGATCGCCACTCTTGGGAAGCGGTCTCACTATCGAGCATTTCCAGTCGTTGGGGAACCGAACTTGAGAACGATCATGCCATTACATTGTTTCACGAGTTTGGTGCTTAACTCAGGTTCTTGAAAGCATTTTGTGTCTGAGGGCCGTCAGTTGCTATCCGGGAAAGTGAAATCTCTAAAGAAAACTCGTTATTTCAATGGGAAAACGATTTGAACCAACGGCGCACAACACCAACATCAAGGCGTTTTAGAAATGTTCGCGCCAGGAACCTTCACGTCTACACGGCGCATGTACCTGGGCTGTTAAAAGGGCTTTACCCTTCTAAGGCCTCTGGGCCTGATATAATTCACCCGAAACTGTTGCATGAGTTGGCTACGGAACTAAGTGGACTGCTCGCTATGCTGTTTCACAAATCACTTGACAGCTCTGCATTACCTTTTGTATGGAAGGAAGCTGTCATCTTTCCCATCTTCAAATATGGGGACAGGAGTCTGCCTGCAAATTACAGTGTAGTAGTCCAACTCCTCGAGAAACTGGTGTGCGATTCATTGGAGAGTCATCTGAGTAGATTTACTCTACTTAGCAATATACAACGCGGATTCCGGAATGGATTTTCGTGTCTGACGATTCTATTGGTGGCTCGCGAAAGTTGGGCGGATGCAGTAGATAACGGCCACGCACTGGACGTGCTTTTCGTCGATTTTTCGAAGGCATTTGACAAGGTACCCCATTTGAGGCTCGCGCAAAAGCTGACCCCCTACGGGGTATCTGACCTGCGCCCTTCATTGGGTTACTGCCTTCTTGGAGGGTAGAGAACAGTGTGTACGGGTAGGCCGGGGCCTATCGTTTAGGCAGTCTGTCCTCAGTGGCGTGCCGCAGGGCTCGGTCCTTGGACCGCTGCTGTTTTCTATCTATGTGAATGACCTACTCGCGGAGCTTGAGGTACCATCGCTGCTATTTGCTGATGACCAGAACATTGTCGATGTTTCTGGAGGTTCCGATGCTATTCAGTGAGCCTTGGATAAGCTTTGGGACTGATCTATTTTATGATTACTGTCCATAAATCAGGCAAAGAGCTCCGTTCTTCGAATTGGAAAAAGTTATCCTCCTGCGAAGTACGTGATCGGTGGGGTCGTACTCCCCCGTGTATCTAGCCATGTTGATCTAGGCGTCATGCACTTCGGCTTTGCACTCCGGCGACAACTGAAAGAAGACCGCAAGCAGAGGTTTCCGAATGTTGTGGTTAATACGACGTTCTTTCGGAGTCTTGATGGGCGACATCTTTACAAGACTGTTCTCGGCTTTTGTTCGGCCTCATCTGGAATACTACTTCTAGGCTTGTCCGCTTTGCCTCGTCCGGGACAAAATGGAGCTAGATAGGGTTTTACGGGTGGGTGCTAGGTTAGTCGAGGGATTACGGGAACGAACGTACCCCGAGCGTCTACTTAGTTTGGGAATGCGTTCAACGCACTACCGAAGGCTTAAGGGAGACCTAATCCTAACCTACCGTACCTTAACTGGGAAGGTTGGTCCAGATTTATCTTGGCTATTTAGTCCCGCTAGATTGTCTGTTCTACGCGGTCACTCCTTGAAGCTGGACAAACTGCGGTCCGATCGGATTAGGGCGGAAATCCGCCCCCCCCCACCCCCCGAGTCATAGAGCGCTGGAATATGTTTCCGGAAAGTGTACTCAGGGAATCTACAGTTAAGGGGTTTGAGCGGCAACTTGACGCTCTTGGGTGGCAACACGAAACCTTTCCTTTTTCCTGAGTAACTCGCATCTTCATACTTCGATTTTCTTTTCTTCATGCATTGGTATTATTTTCTTATTTCAAGGGCACCTGTACTTTTGATTTCTCTCCCTATCCTTTGCTTACTTTACGTGACTGCCATAGCAAGGACTGCTAGGGCAGCAAACGTGGGCATCAACTGGTTGGCCAGGGTGCGATACTGGTGTTCCGTTTTAGATCCATCAATAACTGAGCACTTCATCAATTCCTGGCTCAACGATCCACTCAAGATGAAACACGGGATTCTACTATCGTTCCACTCCCACCCAAACTTGAACTTGAACTACCCACCTCCCTTTGGCTAACGGAACTGAACTACCAATCGGGGCAGCCGACCTAGCAGTTCTGAAGCGCGAACATTCCTTGGTTGTCCTATAAATATCCACTGGTTTCTGTACTACTTGTATCCGTTTCCGTGACTGCTTCTAACACACCCTTTTGGCATCCGGGCGTTGACTTCTGATTTCGGCTGGGATTCGGAGCTGGCACGGAACGACTTCATTTCAATCGGAATCGCATACCGAGAGACAGATCATAACAATTGCCTTCTTACTTCGCATAACATTTGACTAAACTGCATGAAGCGGGATAAATTTTCAACTAAAATGATCACTACATAATTGGCGTTAGATGACCTAAGTATAGCCTGTTCAGTTGCATGCAGGAGGAAATTTTAATCGGCCCGTAGATTGAATTTTAAACGCTTGGCCCACCATCTACCCGTATCTGATTAGCATGAAGAAAACGTTGGGCAGCCATCACATCACAAGCTCATCTGAGCTCTCTTGAAGCGTCTAAGGCTTATCAACATTGGAATCAATACTACCACCATTTGTATCCGTTTAGCAGGTCTCCTTTTCGTCTTCCACTGACCTACTTGTCGAGGCCCTCTGTTAGCAGGAAACTTTGTTTTTAGTGTTTTCTGATCGCATATGGGATTGGGGTAATTGGTAAAACCAGCTCTCGGAGTCTAGTATTCCTGCCGATCTCATTCGATTTTAGTCTACCCTGCTGAGTTCAATCACCCGGGGGCCACTATACGTCTTTGTGCATCATTTTCGTCTACTTAGTATAGGTTGAAGCCAGCGTTTTATCTCTACCTCGTTTCTAAAGAATACGACTAGTTAGTCTATTTGGGGTTCGTGTAGTGCTTAATTTTTGGCCCCAAGCAAACGCTAAATCTGTCATGTTTTGTGGCGTTCTGAATTGACTATTTCACGGTTCACATATGGCACATGTTATGGTCAAGATTTACACAACGCTTTTTCTGTTCGCTTTTCAGCTAGATGAAGCACACTGCACCGGAGACCGTTTCAAACATACTACCTTTAGACAAAAGTCTCATTGACCACAGATCTTATCGGTAGGTTTCAATTAAGCTCAACATCGTTCAGTTACTTTCAACTTGAAAATGGTCTGAAGGTTATAGTGATATCCAGTCTCAAACCTGGTGAGGAGCCTGTGGATGAGTCCTCTTCCGAAGATGATTCTGTGGATGACTCCAATGAATGTGATAGTGAAACCGGAGGCTTCGAAACAGATAGCAAGGCTGACACAGCCCCTGAGAATAAGGTAAATGCGCTAGCTATTATCATTTGATCGATCGCTTTCCTCTACTTACTCATTCCGTAGGCTGTTTTGAGCATGTTTGATACACACATCTCTCCATAGTTCTTTTTTTTCTATCTTCTCATTCACCTAAATTCTTCTCGGCCAAAATCTATTTTTTACACCAGCCGGATGCATTCAAAAACCAGAAACCGATTTTTTAGCAGTTTTTCAGTTCGCGTGCGCTATGTACCTTTACTGTCAGTTGAATAGCGGGTCAGCACAATGGTTCCACCCGTCCACTAAGACCCAGATGGCAGCTATAATGGTGGAGCGCTCGATCTTGCATCAAGTTACCTTCCAAATAGCTGTTACTGTTATCAAGGTATTTCGTCTAGGATTTTATTAGCTCTGTAGGCTTGGAGGGCTGAATTTTAGGGCTAATGTTAGTTGGCATCTCCATAGTGACCTAATATTAGTAAACATTACACATGTCAGGTAACATTCGAGAAAGTGTCCGTACCAAACTATGCTACCTATGCACTCGAAACCGACCAACATTGCACCGGCAGTTCATTGATGAGCACCAAGTGACACAGTTCGGCATTACCCACTCAGTTTTTCCACAAGTCATGACCCCGGCATAGACCCCGTTGATCAAGGATCACTAGTCAAACGATGCTTTTAGTGCGCAGGCGCCACGAGCCTGGTACATTCTGTGACAGTGGCTGAACTGCAGCGTTATACACCCAACCCTTAATCGGTTACCTAATATCTCAGTCTCATTAGATTACAGGCTTTAAAGAGCTACACTGGTATGACGGACAAGCGCGAATAGTTCTGGTAGTTTGATCACCATAAACGACGCAACTATCTTGATAAATGAGACGGTCCACAATTTATACAGTGGATGCTCGGTTCAATGCTGAAGCAGCACCTCACACTTCACAGTTGAGGACTCCGTATCGAAACCTATTAAGCAACGCTTACACAGACCAGACACCAATATAGCTAAATCATCTTTATGCTCTGCTAACCAGGTGTGTCACGGCTAGGTTACAGCGGTTCTGGCCACTGGCTGAAATAATCCATTGTTCAGCTTCTAAAGCCAAAAGTGCATGTCTGCATTAGGTTTTAATAAGCCATAGAAAAATTGCATATTCTCTCGCTATCTACTTCTCGTCCCTTGCGCTCATACTTGCCCCCTTGTTAAAATCGCTGGAGCACTGTTAAAAGTTCGCTCAAGGTACCGATTTATATCGCTTACTGCATCCTCTACCTGAACGTACCCTGATTTTTTGCACTTTGGTGGAATGTTCTTTCCATATCCTTCTTTGCTCACTACCGAAAAACTTTTGGGCGCTAGATTGGGAGCGCTGCCCTTCATCTACAGTTGGACGCTATCTCGTAATGTCTGCTCATTGATACACTTTGCAGTGGCATCCCTCCTTCACATTCTCCTTCGCTTCATTGAAGTAGTACATGAAGTACATTGAACTAGCACATGCGCTCTTTTCGATGCACAGAGCGCTCTAATTTCGTTTAAGTTCTAAGGCCTTGTCTATAAAGCAAGACAAATTCCTAACCATCCGTCTTCTTCTTTCCTGGAAGATGTCACTATTTTGCTTTAGCGTGTGGTTCCTTTACGTATTTTTCCGCGGGAGCGCAATTTCAGTTGAATCCATTTCCCTCTTTCTGTGATACTATCCCCTGGGAGAAATAATGCACAGCTCTCCACTGGGCTGTTCGCTTACTGAACATGCTGTCCTGGCACTCTCCTCTACTTTTCAGTCGGCGGCCGCGCTCTGCATTCAAGTCGGGAGCTTCTATGACCCTCCTGAGGCCCAGGGACTGTCTCATTTTCTGGAACACAGTATGTTTATAGGATCTATTTATCCCTGTCTTTGTCACGCTACTCAACCAACTGTTGTGCCTGTCTTGTGTTCCTGTGCTTCATAGTGTATACCAACACTAATCGGCGAGGTTTTACTACAACTCTGACCCCGTCTTTAGGCTTCACTCACCATGTGTAGATAATTGCGCTTATTAATCTCCCCACGATTCACTAACTGCTCTCATTTAATGTACCCTTTCAATACAGTCACATAATTTTTTCAGTGACCACGGTTTTGTACTTTTTATTGCCAACAGCCTCATTTCAACGCCATGCAGCGGTCATCTGTGATATTGCTCCTAACCTTTATTCGTAGCTCGAGTGGTGTGGAATTCGTTTACTAGTCGCTGTTTTTTTTTCTTGTCACCACTATGGTATTACAGACGTTCCTGATAAGGCTTGAGTTTGGAATTCAGTTGCATCCACACGACAGATTGGTTGGTCCTGTGTTCATCGAATTAAGCGTCACTTACAAAGTGCATCCACATCTCTTTTCCCTTTATTGGTCTCCTTTATTTTTTCCTTCCGAATTTGTGACTTCTCTTTAAACATTTAGTGTTTTTGGATCGAATCTACATCAGTGTGGATATATTTACATGTGTTTTTCCTTTACTGTGTGTAAAAATGGATGATGGTGTTCCGGGTACCACAAACGAGTTGTAGACGGTTCATTCTACTTCTTCTGGTCGGTACACGACAGTCCTGCTTAATGCATCAGCTGTACGCCGTAACGGCGCTTCGCTGCTGCGCGACCACCACCAGTCGTGCGCGGGCTGAGTCTACCGCGAGGACGCCCACTCCTACGCGGATTCGAACCGGTGACCTTATGGTTGCAAAGCAAATGTGCAGACCACTCGGCCATCGGCCGGCTTACATTGTTCGGTTTCGCAATGTGAAAACTTTTACTGTGAGCCACTGCGGTTGCGCTCACGTGGTTTTCAGTCTTCTCGCCTTTTAAAATACGATCATTAAACAGGGATTTGATTTGTTTGTTGGTCAGATCCTTTGTAGCCACTACATGTAACCATTTCCCCCCTTCCGGTTCGTCTTGCTTCTTAGTACGCAGATCCCTGGGTGGATTCGTGCACGCGTCATCTAGTGCCGTTTTCCCGGATGTACCCATCCTTTTGTAATCCCTGCTTCGAGGCGAACACTTATCTATTTCGCAATGGACATTTATGTAGTTTTGCTAGACCTAGCGTAAACTACAGGCACCCAACGTGCATACCGTGATGGCTTACCTGCGTTTAAATTAGTTCGCATGGGTACATCTTCCTCGTTCCTCTTAGTCATTCTACGTGATGCGACAGTTTCTGTGCCGACGTGGCGAACCTAGAAATGTTGATCCAGCCATTGTCCTAACCAGCGCACCGGTTTCCCTTATGCTATCCTTTTTGTGACTCGATTGTCGATACACCTTGCACTCAGATAGCGTGTCCGGAAGGAATATTTCTCTCATGTAACCACTTTTCATAGTACACCAGCACTCCGTTTGTTCAATTTGCTTCCTTCCGGCGTTGCACCAACACACCATCTGGAGTCTGAATCGTTTGGCTTCGTGCTTCGTATAATGATGATGACTATCGTATGACTGATTGGCATAACAGATCTCACTTTGGATCATTTGGCCAGGTTCACCTCAAAGCGTCACGCCTACACGCGTTGACGCGAACACGGGGCAGTACACGCCGTTTCTGTTGTTGTTAGTGCTAGTCGCCGTGTATCAAATCGATTTCTCCATTCCCCGCAGTGGTTTTCATGGGTAGTGAGAAATACCCGACGGAAAACGACTTTTGCGCCTATTTGTCCCAGCGCGGAGGTCAGAGCAATGCATGGACGGGAAATGAGTTCACCATGTTCCACTTCGACGTTAAACGAAAGCACTTCGCCAAAAGCCTCGATCGTTTTGCGCATTTTTTCATCTCCCCATTACTACGAAAGGATAGCACGGATCGCGAACTCTCTGCCGTTCATAGTGGTAAGTACGATAAAAAAAATTTTGATCTTTTGTTTATCGGGATATGGTTCGATGTTTATATTCAGCTTTTCTTGGATCCTTCTTTCTAGTCAATCGACCCTTCACTACACCTGCCTGCCATTGAGCCGTTGTGGAAAGCTGTGACCAACCCCACTTTCATCGTATTGATAATTTTTGGCGTCCTCTGCTGATTTGCCGCAAACACTGTGTGGAATGTTTCTATCGTTTGCCATTTTGTCGGTCTCGATGCTGATCTTGCCTTAATGCGGGATAGGTAGATTATGTTGAGACCGACTTGTCAAGCGTTTAAATTGCTAACTACTGCAGCTTGTGTGCATGTGCACGCTGTCCGTTCAGCGAAAGGTGTACAGTTCCTCCGGGGGTTCAACCCCGTCATCGATTCATGTCTTCTCACCTTATAACCATAACTTTTAGCAAATGTGTCCTTTGCGGTCTTCAGTCTCGCTTTTGCCGTTAAACCCCACATGTCAGCCGACCAAACTGATGGATGTACGCAACTTTTTCAAAGAACGTTCAATTAAAACTTTGTGAAAATTGATTGCCAAAGTTACAGGAAGAAATATGATTAACTACTCACCCGAAATACTGACGATAATTTTTTGTATTTTCAAACTTTTACATATGTACGATGTCCTTTTCAGATGTGAAGCACTCTCCGAATCCAAAATTCACAATGTACGTGTCTAGAAACACGCTGAATTCCGACACCGATTTAGCCTCGACTGTATTCTCCGGCAAACTGTTCCAATATTTCGCCACTCGACGCTCGAAACATAGACGGCGAGCTATACGCTTCAAATCTGATACTACGAGCATGTACCGGTGCCCTCGAGTGTCGCTTCTTGCGCGCACCTGCAGTAGTGGCCTCATCATGGGGAAGTCACCCAAATGTAATATCCAGTGGGTCGTAATGAGGTGAACTCAAAATCGAGGACACGACAGCGTGTACAGCCCCGGTCTCCTGCATCGGCGCTTTGTAACTGAAATGAACCTGGTAGCTACATGCTGAACAGTCTCTGTACCTCGTCACGGATGATTGCACGGTATGCGAGTGAACCGTTCTCCATCAATGGTTGAATAGGCGAGTGGCTATCTCTTCAGGAGCGTTTAAACACCCAAACATTTGTAATACGTTCCCGTGTAGTCAGTTCTTATTGTTCGCAGACTTCGGATGGCAACGTGAGAGTCCATCTGGGTTCAGTTGTTGTGGGTTCTTCATGAGTGGTCGTTTGCTGCCAGCTGTTCCGAGGCCTGAGTGCCATGCATACACTATTTGCAGATAGCCAACTTCTTGTCCATGCAAGGTGCGGTTGAGTGCGGTAGCTTATGGTTATCGGTGCCGTGCTGCTCTAGTTTCAATTATCCTTTCTGCACAACCTGCTCCGACTTCACAATGCCCGGGGTGAAGTAGAACTTCCTGTACGAATAATCGAGATACATTGCAACCGCCCATTAGAAGGAGGCGGGGGCGACTCATGTAGTTTCAGACGTACGACGATCAGCGGTTTCACGGATTCCTATACACCACACTTACGAGCAGTTCAGCGATCCTGGTTGGGCCGAGTACAACAGTTGCTCATACGGGTCATTTACTCTTTGATAAGTCCTTGTGAGTCTCTCGCACGAAGATTGAATGAAGTGCAATTCACCACGGTGGTCGTTTGAAAGTCTATCGCTTACTTAAACTTCCTGTGGAGTAATCACAATATTCAATCAGATGTCAGCTAATCTTAATACATCTTTCCGCTGACAGGCAACGAAGCGGCACAGTTAGTCATGTTTGTTTAGTACACTACAAATGTTGGCACTAGTTATGCGCAGGCCGCGGTAGGAACCGTATGGCGCGGGTGATATGTCACCGACCTGTTAATCCGGATTCGACGAATCTGGGTAACTGTCCAAAAATTTGCAATGTAGGGATTTGCATCTCCACTATCAGCACATCACTTCAGTTCAATAATCGCGAACTTAAATATTTCCACATCTGCAGGATCCATATATGCGGTATATGTTCGTATCAATCACGAACTGGCCTCGCTAACAAAAGTGACTCACTCCGTCTCTTCTTCGAATTCTCTTTTCAAGGCGAGTGGTATATCTCACCCTCAATCTGTTTTTATCCATCTTTAGTAGTCTACCAGTCAGATTTTGAAAGAAATCGACGTCGTGGTCGTAGTGAATCTGAGGCTTTCGATCAATGGACTTAGGTGCAAGAAAAATCGTGGGACCGCAGTGCTGCCGCTGGTCACTCGCATTTTCTCCCTTATTTCTTTTTGTCCTGACCTTATCACTTATGCGGTCCAACACCGGAGCGAAACGAGAGACAATATAGAGTTAAGCCGGAAAATGTAAACCAGATCTGTTTACTATAAAGGGACCCAGAATCAGAAAAGTAATTGGATTAAGCCAAACCAAAGATGGAAACAAACCTGTGCCCAGAATAATTCACGACACAAACTGGCCTGAGGGCGGAACAAAACAGTCTACCTGGCGGGACTATGCGCAGTTGCATTTGATTGGGGTGCTTCCTATTTTGAATGCACATATCTCACAGACGAGCTATTGGCACCGTTAACCGGTGTTGGCAGTCCGACAGAAATCCGTATGGTCCGGGTTTGTTGCACCACATCGTGTGTATCAGCTGTACGCCGTAACGGCGTTTCGCTGCCACGCGACCACCACCAATCGCGCACGGGCTGAGTATACCGCGAGGGCGCCCGACCCTACGCGGCTTCGAACCGGTGACCTTATGGTTGCAAACCAGGCGCACAGACCACTCGGCCACCGACCGACATCGTATATAAACTGGTCGTGTGAGCGGTTTTCCATCGGTTTACCTGGTTCGTTTTGCATCGCCACGGGTAATTGCATCTATTTCAACACAGTCGCCCAGCTCTTCCGTACTTAGATAAACAACGTGTATGGTACATCGCTTACAGCAGTACTGCTACAATGTACTTTTGTCGGCGGATTTTTCAACTTATGCGGTCTTATGCTGAGCCACTATCATTAAGTTCACTGCGGTTAGAACACCTTCCACTGTTCACTTCATTGTACAGTGAACTGAAGTATTCCACACACCTGATGAGCCCAAAACAGGACGAAACCGCGGTCGTAGTGTGACTGTTGGGAGAAGCAATACCGAAATATTTCCATTTCGGATACGGTCCTTGCGATCGGAATGATCGAAGCCTACCTCAAAATGAACCGAGGTCTCAATAGAGGTTGCTATCGCAATCCAGTCACAGCGGGTTCTCCAAATCCAACTTTGATTTCCTTTTCGCTCTACCAAGTGTTGCTCGCGGATCTCAGTGGCATAGTGTTCAGGGCGTCAGTCATGAATCACTAGGCTCTGAGTTCCATCCCAACTCAGGCTATCCCCACCTGATGAGTCCAAACCAGGACGAAACCGCGGTCGTGGTGTGCCAGTGTTGGGAGGAGCAACGCCGAAATATTTCTATTCCACACACTTTTCTAAATATGGCATAGATCACCCCCACGTCTCCTTGTCAAGGTCATTTCTGCTGTCTCCTCCTTTGGATGTTGACTTTACTCCACTCTGCTACTGCAGCCATTTCGGTAACCATTCCGCAATAGATTAACAAGCTTTCTTTCCCGTGGTTTTTCTCATGTGTGCAATAGTTGCTCTTTATTCATGGATACTGTGTCCTTCAGTCGAACTTCGAAGCTCTTTTCTCTTTTTCCCTTAGAATATGAACTTAGCTACGCTCGCGATTCCAGCCGTCTCGAATTTTTCATCGGTTCACTTGCCCGTCCCTCATCTCCATACCGCCTGTTTGGAATTGGTAAGCTGCGCTTTGGGATACTGTAAACCCCCACGCGTTCTTCTTGTTTTTGACTGATCACCCTTTTCCTAATGCTCGTCTAGTCAGCGAACCATTACTCTCTCCATTCACAGCTTGATGATGCTGCTGCACCTGTTACACTTTCCATTCTTCCATACGGTTAGATTGGCTGTAACGCTCATCTCCATCTCCTTAGTTTTATATTTGATTAACTGTCGCTTGTTGTAACCACACAATTCGGTACCTCAACACGGGTTTCTGTATTACCTTCTGATGCTGAGATATGCTATTTTTATCTATCAATCTAGGTAACATGCGGTCTTTGAAGTTCATTCCTGAAGAACATGACACTGATATTTATTCTTTACTACAAGCCCATCGAAAATCCATGTACTCTTCGCATCGCATGACCCTCGCTGTTCACTCGAAAGGTATGTCGTTTCATTGCCTTTCATGACAGACTACCACTCCTCTTTGTCATCGTAGCAGTGATTTCTCGTTTTCTGTGCTACTCCGTTTTGTATTTTTCACCGTTACTTCAAATCATTTTCTAGAAAAAGCAGACCTCTTTTGTGATCATTTGCTTATGGTGCTTCATCCAACTCCACCTTTCTGCTCTGTCACATTCACAATGGAGGATGCTACTGTCCACATCTTGTTTTCGAATTCCTCCTATCCTATGTATCACATCAAAACGGGATTGCAGCGTTTGGATAGCGTTTCCGCTTTCGACCAAGTTGTACGCAAAATATCATTGTCGTTTGATCACTACTAGTCTCTTTCACGTTGCTCACTCCCGTGTACGGTGTTTATATCCCTGTGTTGTACTCCCTTAGGCTGCGCCCCATTTTTAAGTTATTGCAAAATATGTTTCGGCTTTTGTTACAGTTACTAGTTTGTGTCCAAACTCCCATTTTCCTCTTTTTGATGCTTATCTTTTCCTGACCCCCATTTCAGATACTCTGGACGATATGGAATCCTTGGTGCGAAATCTTTTCTCCTCAGTTCCCAACAGGTTAGTATTTTCATTGTGACCACCTCATCATTCAATTGAACTTAATTCCATGCTGCTCATTTAACTTTTTCAACCTTATATGTCAATCGTAGGCCTTATGAAAACCGGCAGTGTGGCCTCCACCCCCCCTAAAGCCTGTGTGTGTTTGATAAATATTACTTCCACATGCATTTGGTTACTGCACTCTGTTTAGACGTCCTGCTTTTCCTTATTCCACGTCTGGCACAACAGATTCCACTTAAATAAATTTGTTTATTTCTCTACTGTGCGAGACACGGACCAGTATGTTGGTCCGATCGAATTGTACAAGGGTTTCGCAAATTTGTGGATGATACAGATAAATGAAAAGAAGGACGCGTGGAGAACGCGTCATGACCAGTCAGACACTTTAGAAGTACACTGCCAATCACATATTGATTGGTGGTTCGCAAACATGTCGCAATGTAGCAAGTTTTGTCAGTCATACACTTGCATATACTCGTCACGCGGTGTAGGCTGTCATAGCACTGTATTCCGGAGCGGCTTGAGCTAGATTGTTTCGTCATATAGAAGTACGTAACCAATACGCCAAGCAGCCATGCGTATTGGAATATTTCTCCGCAGTATTTGGACGAGTCTCGGAGGAAGGGACACGTTGGAAAGATAAAACAGTGGACAGGTTAAACGATTTGCAAGCAGAGAAGACTGTCAGTTTCAACAAATCTAAAATATTGTGTGGAAAATATTATACACGTTAATAATAATGTGGTCGGCAGCATACAGGGAGTATACATGGGTAAGGGAGGCTTGCATGTTCGAGGTGGTCGTTCGTTAGAATGTGTCAGGTCTCTGTTCCGATATTTCGCCAATAGGCCTGCCAGTATTTCGGGATCTGTAGCGGAGGCGGTACTCAAACACTGGTGTTATGAGGCGCAGAGCTACTTACATAGTACATCTATCATTACTAGTACTTTGATACGAGCGCATCGGTATCTGTGACAGAATTAGCAATAGCAACCATCGCTCTTTGTTATATACTTGAAAGGGGATAGTGTAACATTCGTCGGGTAGACGAGCATAAGTACTCGGTTGACCTTCTTCATAGGCATCTATGTGGTCATGGAGGCCTTGAGATAGATATGGCCGATTAACAAGAGGATATAACAGGGGTCCAAGGAGTGAAAACGAGGACTCGGTTTACCTTCCATCCTTGACTTCCTTGTAGGCATAAAAGCCTCGAGGTTGACTTGGCCGAGTAAGGAAAGAATATAACATTGGTCGGATGAATGAAGAGGACTCGATTTAACGTCTCTCTTTAGCCGCCACCATATTCATATGGAGGCCTTAAGATTGGTATAGCCGGGTAAAGAGAAAAAGTGATAAATTTTGAAAGGGTGGGCATGAAATTTTGGTCCTTTTCTGGCCTCTGCGATGTCAATGAAGCTTTTTAATGTACGACGGGGAGGTATCACGGACATGCCCTTTGGTCCCTTCGGATAAATCTCTGTCTCCACGATATTCAGCTTGAAAAGTTGCATATCTTTTGGAACTGTGAGCAACTTATTTATCTGTACATAAAACATGTGAAGAAATGTGCATGATCTAATGGACAGTGGGAGACGATTCCAAATCAATGCATATCTAATGAGGAAAAAGTTCGCACCCATGTTGGTTGCCGACTTTGCAATCGCATGTATGCGCTTTTTATTACTAAAAAGGTAACGTTTATTGTGTTATAATTGAGGAGAGTATCTAGTTGTATGAATGCGCCCATGAATTACATCGCAAAGCAGCGATATCTTTATTCTGCACAGTCATATTGGGTCCAACATCAGCAATTTGCAGCGGTCAGAGTATGTTAACCTCCGAGTAGAACCCAGGATCTGTCTTGTAAAAACACGTTGAATGCGCTCCATTGCCGCTGTGTCACTTCCTTGCATTGCCGAATACCATACAGCAGTACTTTAGCATTGGGCGTGTACAAGTGTAAGTTTAGCATTTGTTAAGGTAAAGAGTTTGAGAAATAGTGCATTCTTTTTCTTGGCTTTAGCGACAGTGTATTGTACATGTTCGGAGAAGTTAAGGCTGCTGGAATAGTGAAGCCCTAAGTCTCTTACTTGGTTACTTTATGCTAGGTGTTTGCCGAAGAAGGTTGGACATTGCTGTCACATTTTAATGCGATCGCATTACTCTTTTCGACGGAAAAATTCATTTTTGAAGGGCAACACCATACTTAAAGTGCATTCACGGACTCTTGATTCCTAGGATCAAATGTGTACAAAACTTTATATCATGCGCAAACATATGGGGCCTACCATAGACAAAAATGTCATTTATATGCATCAGGAAGAGAAGTGGTCCCAGAAGGCTGCCTTGAATGACGTCACTTGTCACAGGGGTGCGACCTGATGTGTGGTTACCTATCTTGACTGCTTGGGTTCTGTCGGTAAGGTATGAGGAGAACCAAGAAAGTAGTGGGTCAGCAATGCCATACCCTGCTAGAGTGGTCAAAAGCCTACCATGGGGCACTTGGTCAAAGGCCTTTTGCATGTTAAGGAATGTCATAATATAAGCTTTACCATCGTCGACTGAGCTTGGGATGTGGCTTAAGACGTCTAGTTGGTAAGATTGACAAGTACGCTGTTTAATAAAGCCATGTTGTGATTGGCTGATTAGGTTCCTTGATATTAGAAACTGGGAAGTGGTAGCCTTTATAAGCCTTTTCATAGCTTTAAGAAGTATGGAAATATGGCTGCTCGGGCGGTAATTTGCAACATCCCGTTTTGAACCTTTTTATATCTTGATACAACATCGGCGTGTTTCCAGTGATGCGAAACAGTGCTGGCCTTCATTGACAAGGTAAATATGTTCTGCAAAAGAATAGGGATATCCGGACCTCCGTATTTCAGTAAAGCTGATGGAATGCCATCAGGGCCACCATTATAGGACGACTTTATAACGCTGTGCGACTTCATTATTTCTGCTACAGCAAAGTCTACTGTTCATAACGTGCCGTCAATAAGCCGTTTTAACGGTATGATGCGTTTGTCCTTTGTATGACAGTTAAAGGACGAACGAGAATGCTCGTTAAAAGAAATTACTAATGACTACAGGATCATCCGTTGACGTAGAGATACAGATTGCAATGGGCGTGATACAGTCGTTTCTGTATCCTCCTTTGCTCCTGAGAAGCTTTATTAGCTCCTTCGGCTTGTTTTAGTCTACGTGAGTTCGATGTTCTTCATAACACCGTCTCAGCTCGACCAACTTTTACCTTGCCGGTTACATTATGGATTTGATATAGTATGGTGAAGTCATGCGTTTTCTTATAGCAGCTGACCAGTCTGCTGATTTTTCCTTTACCATGGGTGCTGGCGCGAGCGTTCCCAGTAGTGTTGGGGCGTTTTTTTGTCAAAACTGGAGCAATAATGTCTACGTATTGGTTTCTATTATAATAAAAAGTTTCAGCGGCAACATCTAGGTCGCATGTGAGGACGAATCTATCCTACTGCATTTGCCTTATTTGCGTTGCGAACATGTCGCAGTTGATTGAACAGTATGGCCGGTAGCATATATCCTTGTACTCGGCCTTCAATGCTTGTGTGGTTATACTGCAATTGAATACCACCACATTATGATCACTGTCCGGATGTTTGTCCAGGATCTTGACATTATTATCGAGAATTTCCAAAGTGAAGACAATATCTAGAATGTTGTCATTTCGTGTTAGTGACGGCACGTGCTGTGACCAGTCTTGCGAGCAAATAGTCGATAGAAACTCTAACAACCCTATGAGGAAGCTGCGCTAATTTATCTCAACGGTGATCTAAACAGAGTAAGTGAAGTCGTTAAGCATCAGCTCAACCAAAGGGGAGGTGGGAATTGTTTCATAGATGTATATCACGCAACCTCCACCCCGGCTATAGCATCGGTTACTACTGAAGCCAATATATCCTGGGATATGATAATATGGTTCTGGTGTCTGATCAGTAAGCCACGTTTTAGTAAGTTGGAGGGTTCAATAAATATGTAGCAAGGCGGGTATAATGCATTTTATTGTTTAGGGAGCGAGCATTAATAAGAAGAATGTTTCTAGCTCCGTGCGTTTTAGTCAGGCCTATGAGCTGGCGGAGTATGGGTAGTACAAGGACATTTGAGGCGGTGGAGGTACCCATATTGGTGGGAGCATCCTGCGACCATCTATTGTCTTCGCAGACAAGCAAGCTAGGTGAATAAGATGAAGGAGGGGATGCATGGTGTTCTGGTGCACCAGAAGTTATCCTATCGACGCCCGAGCTGCCGCAGACTAACCCAAAAATTTTGTGGCTTTGGAGGTTACGGTGGATGGGAGTTCGTATTATTCGGAAAAGCCCATGACCCTGGGTAAGAGTGTTATTTGTTGCATGTAGAGCGATATGCTCAACTCATTGTGGAGGATCAACCTTCCGCTAGGGTATTGGGATAACAGTAGTCGCAAAAGATTGCTGAGGAGTGACTTTCAAGTGAGAGGGACCTCCGTTAGGTATCTAGACTTCATTACTCGCACGGTCATTGTGGATATGACTGTAGTACGGGGCCTTAGAAATATGCTTTACGTTTGACTCAAGTGAGTTCCCAGAATCAGGGCACTCTACTATATCAATCCTTGGAATCCTGGGATGTTGGAAGGCTTGCAGATGGCTCGTGCGTTCCGTCAAGCAGCTCGCCTGATCGCACTATCGATTTGGCGTTACATACCGCCCATCAGTTTTTAAAACCGATTTTAACCAAACTTAGTTTATATACAATAGCTTTACGCTTCAGTGCATCTTCAAATTGCATTTCTCAATACCCTCGTTAACTCACCTTGCTTATACAATTCAACCTGCTATGGCGACCACCTGTCCAAGGTGACCACTTTTTGTCGGTCCCTTGGGTGGTCGTCATAAACAGGTTTGACTGTATGATTTTCTCGGGAGTTCGTTCTAGACCAGGACTCAGCGAGACATTTCCTTATGTGGATCAGTAATGCTGAAGCGTCACTCCTACTCGATTTATTGTTCGCTCATCTCTGTTCTCATTCTCTCCATAGCAATGTCCCACCACTGGATTTCTCCCGTTTTTCCGATTCCTTTGATACGCCCTCTTTCACCAAGTTTTACCGAGGTAGGTCGAAACTGTTCCCTTCTGTCTTTGAATTTATTGCTGTCTTTGCCATTTTGCAAGCGTCATTGTAGTGTCTGCTTAGTTTGTCTGTCCTTTGTTCCTGTGTTTCTGTAGTCTTGTTATTGATGCTTATTTAGGCGGACGGAAGCCTAACGTGTGATCTGGGCATGTTGGTCACAGACACTGATTTGTCTGGCTTAAGACTACACACTTTCACCCGTCGATTACAGGGGAACAAGGGGCAGAATTCGAATCTTTTCACCGTAATATATAACGAATTGGCCAGTGGTTGCAGACCCTAAGTCTGCGGATGGGTCCTTATCACCAACGGCATTTCTCATTATATTTTCGTTGAGCAGACATGGTACTCCAGACTTTGGCTTCAGCTGAGTTACCTCTCGCGTGATTTATTCACCTAGACTGTGCTTTTTCGTTTTCAGTCCTGTGCTGGTAGATAATACGCCCCACTTTTCTGCTATTCGCCTTGATGTTATCTGCATGCAGTCTCACCGCTCGTTTAACTTTATCGAAGGCGTGTCTTGTGACCTTCCCACGAAATGTGCAATCATGAGTTCTATCTGACCGTTACTTTGGTTGATGGCTTAGTCCCGAACAAAGCTGGAATCCAGTACGCACACAGGTTTGCCGCTTATAGCTGTTGTTGTAGGGATACCGATTACAGGTGTCTACAATTGTATCTTCGGTTCTTGTCAAAGAGAGTATCCCATATGGTTCTCGCTCATCCCTTCGGCACACCTCTTGTATTCCAGTCTGCCCGCTTGGCGACCGGGAGAAGTTGCGAGTTATTTGGGCACTGCCTCCGATACGGCATGCGTACGAGTGAGTTTACAAAGTCCAGTTGCTTCGGCGTTTTTCTCCTTCTACAAGTTCGACGACCATTTTCCCGCTGTGTATCTTGTCAGCAATGTGCACCAGGAATGTTAGGCGTCTAAGCGTGCTATCAACCACACTTGGTCCTAGTTATCATTTTTTCGCACCTATTCGCAGCGTTGCAAAGAATGGAATCCCTATTAACCATGCAAAACAAATTGCCAAATGAGCTTTTACTGACTGCCTGGATAACCCCCTTCTCACCTTAGTTATCACGCAATTTGTAGAGCCGTGTGCTTGATGTTACTTGTTAACGTTCGACTCTGTGGTAGTCGTTGTCTGACAGTGAGTCGTTGTTTTTGTGCACTGAACATACCAGAGCATTGCGGGATCTCTAGCACAGACGGTTATCTGCATCGGTTTACGAAGCACATTAAGCTCCACTTTGCATAATTCATTGACTCCATCGTCCTTCTTAAGGTCATAAATGTGTACCCCCTCACTCCACCTCCCATTTTTCAGGTCTTGTCCAATGAGTATTGTGTCCTCACTCGTTGGTCATGAAGGAAAGGGGAGTGTATTGGCTTTTTTAAAAGAAAAGTGAGCTTCACTATTCGTTTTGTTCTAGTGTACCACTGTCCGCTTCGATATTTCTTAATGAGCGATATAGGAGCTCTTAGCCTCTCTCAGTTTTCTACGTGCAACGATGTCGACCACTTTTTTCCTAATCTGCTTCCAGCCTTTAAGACATTGATGAATCCCTCCCTTGGGTGCTTGTTTGTCAGTTGTTTCATTTCATTCACATCCCCTTTTTAACCTTATGATTTAACTATCTCACCAGCTGACCCGCCTTCCACCATAATTTTACGCATTCCTGTGTGTGCAGTTCGCTTCGTTTTCCCCGAGCGATTATGTCTGTAGATTTTCAGAACTTAACGCGTTTTACTTGCTTCGATTTCTCCCTGAAATGTGAGTAACTTTCAAACGGCTATCATACGATAATTTTCTTCGAGATGGCTACATACTTTGTTTACCTTCGACTGCAAACGCGATTTGCGTCTCAACTGTTTGACTCTCATACTACCCACTGGCGCAACTTCGCTGCCTATTATTTCCCAACTGTTGCCCCATTGTAGAAATCTGGCAGTGGCGCTCGCGTGCGGGTTTTCGCCCTCCTCGGATTTCGAATGTTCCAGCATCTGTACATTGTTTATCGTGTACATCACGTTGACAGAAGAGGGTGTGGACAACATCAACGAAGTGAGTTGTGATTCCCACGGACCGTACGAGAAGGTACCCCACTTGTCCACATTGTTACTCTTTCCTGTCTTACATTTTCTTTAGCAATTCCATTCATAGTGTGACCAGTCGTAAGCTCATGGGATTATCATCGGCTGTATCACTTCCATTGAAAATACGGCACATTTCTCCGGTGCAGTTTGGCATATTTAAGTTGACAGTCAACCACTGGAGAATTTCTTAAGTAGTCTTTCATAAGCAAATTCTTATGGTTCAACTGTCAACGTGCCCCTGCCTGTAATTTAAATGCTTGCTCTTTATGTCACTTATTCATTCAGCTCAGACTTAACGACTTCCGATGGTATCTAGGTGCAGCGTAATATTGACCTTTTGTTAGGTCTCAGCTGGGGTCGTCTTTTCTTGCTCCACTTAATTTACACCTAGGATAGCTCTTATTTTGCAAGTCTTGCCATTAGAACACTGATAGTCGTAGCACAGTCTCGGCAGATGCCACCCAATGATGACCACCGTGAGCCGTCCCCCACATCCACTGAGTTGCAAGTTCGACTCTGTAGTCAGCACACGACTTGCGCACTCCGTTTGTTCAATAATTTTTCTTTCCTCCCAAGAAAGTGACACCACTCCAACTTCTACTTTCGGATCACCTTTTTATAGTCGAAACGATTCCTCACATCCCCTTCAGGTGTGCCGCATTTTATTCGATTACATGAAAATGCTGCTTCGAGAGTGCGAGAGGGCGGTTACTGCACAGGACGAATCCCCAGTTTCCAATCCAGAAAATCCGCACCAACGCATCTTGCACACATTCGATTCCTATTTGTCGGAATATCGGATCACGCGCAAGGCTGCCTTCAGTTACAGCGAGCCCGAGGGACCGGAAGAAACCTCGGTTCATGTGGCAAATCTAATGCAGTTGGTCCCTCCGGAACAAGTCTTCTCCGCCTACCGTGTGCTGAAAAAGGTGGATTTACCAGTAAGTTTAGGGCCACATGACGATTACAGCATTCCCGTTTTGCAATATCCTCTGTATCCACTGCGTGGACCAGTTTGAGCTTTTGTTAATTAATGTCATTCGGGATTTTGAAGTATTATTATGGTTATTTTTTAAGATTTTTTGCGGTTGATTCACTTTTTGAAGTTGGTACTGCACCTCTTGGTCACATTGTTGGAAGCACACTTTTTCATCCCCACAAGTTTCGCAGGTGCTTCGTGTCTAGGAGCCCTATGGAAAGTAAAACGAACTCTGCGCGCTGAGCAAGAACTGGTCATTCGGTTACGGAACACAGTCATTTGTTTCGTGCAAACTTGGGTCGTTCGTCCACTGCACCTGATCTCTCTCAAAGCTACTTCTGTTTCCGTTCTATACCTAGGCTATGCTTAGGCTTACTGACCCGCACTCGGTTGTCGATTGCCGCTGCTCAGTCCAATCCACATCTGTCTTGTCTAGCGCTGCGTTGAGTTTCGTTCGTGCTGGGCCTCACCAATCTTAACTGTACAACGATAGCCACTTTGTGTGGCTGGTGTTTGATAAGCTTTTTGTCTGCTGATCTCGTATCAGCTTAGCTCACCCCGCTGATCCACGACTATCACACCTTGTATTGTCGGCTTGGGTTTATTAACGCGCGCTTGCTATTCGCTCGCTCCCTTCTTGCCTGAAACTATGCTGCGATTCGTTCACCTTAGGCCAAACCGGTACTGCACTGTCTATTCGACCCATGCAGTTGTGGTTAGCTCCAGTGGGCAGCACCGGGTTGGCTTTCTATCCGCTTTGCCCCCAGCGATTCCGATTAACTGCTACCTAGTATCGTGCCCGTCTTCAAAAATGGTACCCGAACTGACTCCGCCAACCACAGAGGGATTAGTGCCATCAGTGTTGCTTCCAAGGTTCTCGCCGCTCTGCTTTTAAGGAGGCTCAGCCTGGTACGCGAACATCATCATCATCATTATACATGTCAGCTAGAGGTGGTGAAACACCTCTGCTATTGTACCGCAATACATAAAGGAAATACATGCATACATACAACACAGAGAAAAAATAAATACGACAGTTGCTTGCCAGCTGAGCTACCAGCAACGGATAGGCATCGTTCCGGTAAGCTACCAGCCAGCTACTAGGCAAAAATTTTTTATTATGTTTTACCCTACGAAATGAGATCGTAGATGGAGGGGGAGGCTAAAAGGGATGGGGAGGGACAAAGAAACTCACAGCACAAACGCCATTGAGGTCGGCTCGTTGCCATGTCAACAAGTATATCCAGCCAAACGTGTTCACCGTCTTTTGGACCCCAACCAGGGAGCCGTGAAGCTCCAACCGAGGCTAACTTCGAAGTGAGGGACTTCATTCCTCTGGACCAAGTCATCGCTTGGCCACCTCTCGTCTTCTTCCACCCACATCCCCGGTGAGCAAACAACTCACTTCAAAGGAGTCGGTGGGCTGGCATGCGCAGCACGTGGCCCAGCCATCGGAGCCTGGTGCGGGAAATAGCGGTGCTGAGCGGTTCATTCCCTTTTCCTGTGCCGTAAACAAGGCGTCGAACACGCTCGTTACTCACGCGCTGTTCCCACCAGATGTGAGCCAAACTGCGAAGGCACCGATGGTCGAACGTAACTAGCCTCTTCATGTCCGCCGATCTTAGGGGTACGCGAACAGAGCACACGTAAAAAGCAAGCTGGGTTCCGCTCAGGTCGGAGTCGCATTGATCACATCTTTACACTCCGCCAAATACTCAAGCATCGTCAAACATTTGGCCGGACAATGATCGTTGTCTTCTTAGACATACTAGCCGCGTTTGACTCAGTCGACAGAGCTGCTCTCTGGAGTTGTCTACTGAGAAGGAGAATGCCCGAGAAGTATTTCACCTTACTTCAAGTCATCTGTTCTCAAACCTCGGGCCAAGTGCTGATGTACGACTGGCTTTCGCTCCCCAGTGGCGTGAGACAAGGTTGCCCAGCATCCCCTTCTTGTTCAATTTCGCTATAGACGAAACCTTGGAGAGTGTTCTGGAGAACTGCGAACCCAGCGTCGTCGAACTCCTTCCGGGAGACCGACTTCGCGATTTAGAGTATGCAGACCACATCGCCGTAATCTGCGTTTTCACACAGGCCGCCCAAAATGTCCTGTATAGCTTGGAGAAGTCTGTCTCACAGTTTGGAGTGACCGCACCATCGAAATGTAAGGTCTTCCTGAAGGACTGGGTAGGTGCTACTTCTAACCTTACTTTCTTACGTCATTCATTGGAAGTGGTGTCAAGTTCGTTTACCTCGGAAGCTGCCCCAGCGCAAATGCTTTAACGGATGAGGTCTCTTTGCGCATCTCCGAGGCCCGGTTTGCTTTTGCCGATCTCCGCCATTATTGGCGTCGAGGTTGTCTGAGTCTATCTCTGAAAGGTCGAGTTTACAATGCCACAATGTGAGCGGTTCTGCTCTTTGGCTACGAGACGGTCTGTTCGCGCGAAGGATGTTGAGAAGCTGTCTGCTTTTGATCACCGCTGCCCTCAGAGCATTGCTGGTGTACGATGGCAACATCACACTAGTAGTGAGGTTGTTCGATGAATGAATTTCAGATCAGACAGACTTTGCTGGCCACTGAGCAGTATAATTTCTCTGCGCAGATTTCAGTGGCTTGGGCACGTTCTCCGCATGCCTATTCATCGCTTACCTCGCCGTGCCCACTTCGCGCACGCAGAAGTCGGCTGGAAGTGAAAACAAGGTGGCCAACGTATGACTTGGGCCAGAGCATGAAGGAGCGAACGTCAAAGTTAGCCGTGGTCGGGCACTCTCGGCTCCCTGGCTGGAGTGTGAAGGATCCGGAACACGCATGGCTGGACACATTCTCGGATTTGGCAAGAAATCGTGCACAATGACGGACTTGTTGTGACTCACTATTCCCATGAACACCGGTTTTTTCCTCTATCTTCGTATGTTTATTGTATTTTCCATATGTTGTGACACTATGCCAATTGTACTATTGGCGTGTTGAAGATATATATATATATATATATATATATATATATATATATATATATATATATATATATATATACCACCTAGTGGTTACCTTCAACGCTTCACGGTCCGTAGTACAGAGCTGGTTGGCAACTCCTTTATTCCTTTTGGGTTTCAGTATGCGAGTGCTCTGTTCCATATGGCAGTAATTGTTAATTTTCCTCACGCTTTACGTTTGGAGTTTACCGCCTAAGGCATTCACGTTTACTTGTCCCGTTTGCTTCTTCTTTTATACGCTACAAAAAATCAAGTCTGTAGCTAGCTGCTTTGTTATTCTGCTGTGTTGGTCTCAAATGCTCCAACCTACTTCGGAAACGTGAGCACCAAGAAGAACAGGTACAAGAATTTTTTTACATTCGGAAATGGCACTGCTTGTCTAGTAGTCTGTCTAGTAAACGAGCAGCGGTCAAGACCAACCCTAAGGCACTGAAAACGCTGGACTGAGCAATCCAATTAGGGAGCAGTGACATAAATCACCAATCACATGCACTCAACGGGAAATAATTGTTAGGGTCAGCCTCAGGGAAAGCTGTGCTAAGTCACCTAGAAACAGCGACTGTTGACGATCAATAAGACTGCCAAAATCATGCGTTGTAACAAACGTCGAGAGAGACACTCAACGAAAATGAAAGCTTACACTCACGAATCCCTACACACAATACCTCTTAATTATTTCTCCTAACATTCATCATTCCGAATATGACTTGATGAGTTTTCCTAATTACGTTTGAAGTATGGAACTCCGATTCCACTAATTTTGCTTAATTAATGCACCACCACTGTTGGGTGCTCAAAACGCAATCATAGTGGCACACGATTGCTTCCGCTAATCACCGTTTCTCTTGGTCTTTGACCTGGACGTACAAACCAAGGGGCAAGAGTACAATTCTATGAGACACAGGGTCTTCTCACCGTGCATCCGGCACCATTACATCACAGCACCTGTCCTGGATTACCTTGCTGGCGTTTTTATCGGCAGCATTCTGTCTCGGGTGGTTAAGTTGCTCTTTGCTCCAGCTAGATGGGGATATGTGCGGTTACATAGTTTATCAGACTCCGCATAACTTAACCCTGGGTGCCCAGTTGATCCGTGAGTTAATTCTATCTTCTACATGGCCCATCAGCTCAACCCACACATTACCAGTCTAAAATCTTGAATGCTCCGTTAGTTTAAATGTGGTTGTTGTAAACAAAGAGATGACACCCAGCCCCACTGATGATGACACGGTTCCTGCTTACTGTGCTGGACCACTTGTTTTCTGGTCCAACCGATGGTTCTTTTCTTCCTTTAGCTAACGCATAGTGTGTGAAGCAACGAGAAGTTGAACGGCCAACAAAAATGGGGACGCTCAGCCTGCGCATAACGCCGTGCATGTTCCGAGGACGCTGCATATTGAGACCGTCGCGATGAGACTGGATCTTAAAACGGTGCGACAGTTTGCGTACTTCTTCGACCCATTGGGTGGCGCCCCCAGGCCCCTTGAAAGCTACTCCTACTAGGTTGGTCAATGATTAGAGGTCAGACAAACTCAGTCTCCTGGTCCTTCAGGTTAGGAGTTGGATATGAGATGGCGTCTATTGCTGTAAAACCAATTCATTGCCACCTTTTGAGCCAAAGGCTTTGGTTGAGGACCCTAATCGTCCTCCTGTCTAGGTCTTGGCGCCTTGGCAGTATCTCAACCCACATACAGCCATAACAATTTCCCCAAACTCTACCTACATCCGGCATCGGCCGTCGCACAGATTATCAAGGGTCGCCTTATCTGCTACATACAGCAGGGCAGATAAACGCAAACATGCTACTACTGGCACCTCCCTTCTTTCTTTACCACCTTTTTCTTCTACTCCCATCCAGACCCCCATTATTAATCTAACTTATACAATTCCCAGCTTTATTGACAACCACCAAAATGCCACTGGAGTAGAACCATCCGTAGCCACCTTCCCGCAACACCCACCGGACGCCTA